ATTTAGATTTAGATAATATTTTTAGCAATTTATTTGAGAAAAATAAAACATTTAGATTATTGTTTGTATTTTCGTCGATTTTAAATTTGCTACCCCAAAATAATTGATATCAAATAAAACACCTCTTTGAGGTAAAATTTTCGAGTGACGAAAGCTGAACTAGAAACACAAAATTTATGATATCAATTTCGTTACGAAAATTATATGAATTTTTTAACTGCCTTTGAAACGTACGGAAAATCTTTTTTTACTTATTCGGAACGTTGCGAAATTCTGTCTACTACTAGAAGTACAAAATAAAAAACAGAACTTTTGCAACGATTCGTATGAATAAAAAAGATTTTTCCTACGTTTCAAAGGCAGTTAAAAAATGCGTATAATTTTCGTCACGAAAATGATATCATAAATTTTGTGTTTCTAGTTCAGCCTTCGTCACTCGAAAATTTTACCTCAAAGACGTGTTTTATTTGTTGTTTATATCCGCATTTTGGCACATTGGCTTGTTGAATGTGCCATCTAATAAATAGTGTCGTTGTTGTTGTTGTTGTAGCGGCACAACTAAGCCCCGCCTTTTTCGGGTCAACATTCAATCCTTTTCGTCAAGCTCAACTAACGGGAGGCCCAGGAAACGAGCTGTTTCAATGGGGTCGGACCAGAGGGAGAGGGGTCTGAGTCGGATTGAGCTGGCATGTGAAGAGGTGGTTGGTGTCGTGAGGGGATTCTCCACATGCCGGGCACTCATTGGGGATATTGGGGTCGAGTCTGGACAGGTAGCTGTTGAGGCGGCTACAGTATCCAGTCCGTAATTGAGCCAGGGTAACGTGGGTCTCTCTTGGCATTTGAAGCTCCGTCTCTTCTACAGGTGGTGATTGGGCTCATATTACGGCATTCATAGGTCGAGACTCAAGGTAGGTGGTGACTTACTCTCTATGGATGTCGTTAATGGCTCGTCTGTATGTCGTCGGGTCCGGTGGTTGGCCTACGTATTGCTGGACTGCATCCTTGTATACGAATAGGTGCCCCCTGACGTGCCTGGGCGGAGGCTCCTCCTGAAGCAGAGGTCTGTTTGGGTGTTCGCTTCTGTGACACCCCACTAGAAATTGCTTACAACGCATTTTGTTGTGTTCCCTTACGGGGAGCACTTGTGCCTCGCTGTGTAGGTGGTGCTCGGGCGTGATCAGAAGGCACCCGCCAGTCGCTTTCCGGAGTGCGGCGTTCTGACAAGTCTGTAGCTTCGTCCACTGCGTCCAACTAGTCCCCGGCGTCCAAACTGGCGCAGCATAGTTTCCCTGAAGGAAATGTCGACAGTAAAACTGTACTGATTTAGCGCATAGCGTTTAGCACATGAAAATAATATTCGATTTCAATCGAAAAGAGATTAAACAATATAGAACGTTTTTTGGATCAAGTAAGTTTGATTAAAAATGGATTGTGTGAAGCGACTTCGGAGAATTGTGTGATATAGTTCATTACATTTTTAGTAAGCCTCACAGTTTCGCAGCAGCTGAGCGCAAATTTTTTGATTTAGCATTAATAAAAACGAAATTAGGAGACAAATTATTATTTAAAACTTTAAATAATATAATGTTAATAATATACAATTGTAATGCACTTTGGATGCAATATAAAAATAATCGTTACAAAAACTGAATTCGCATATTCTCTTGATAATGAGGAATAAACTCCACTCAATTTCCCGATGTAATAAAAATTGGTCAATTTTTTACCATTTTTGATCCGAAAAATAAATTGGAAATGGCAACCGTGCTCGTAGCAGTAATGAGGCGAGGCACGAAAAGTTTGGCTTTCTCGGCAAACGAGCGAGCATCGCTTGTTTGCTCGCGCTCCTATTAAACGAGCGAGGCTGCTGTGTGTCCAGATTGTTTAAAAAAAAGCGCAATTTCTTATCGTCATTTTTTGTTTTAAATAAAATTCATGAAATCGATTTAACAAATCTTTTATTTTAAAAATGAGATCTTGTTATAATATGGTTTTTAAATCCAAAAACGAATATAATACCTTCAGAGGGTAATAATAAATAACACAAATCACTTAAATATATAATAGTGATGTACAAACAATTTTCTTTAAAAATACGCATACTTTTTAAAAATATTTGTTTCAACACATTTTGCAATAGGACTGCGCAATTATTAAGGTTATTTAAACTCATATTAATTGATTAATCGCACAATCCGCTTTTAAGAGCTCGGCGCTAAAAATTAAATAAAAACCTATAATAAGGCGAGATCAGCTATTTCCACAATTTCTTCAAAACCACCTATAGTTGTTGTTGTCATATATTGAGCTATTCATCCTTGATAACTGATATTGTTTTTGCAGCGGAAATTATTATCCTTCATATAACACTTTATTCGAACTAAACAATTAAGGCAACATCGTATTTCGAAACTTAGTTTTAGTTGAATTCATTGCGGGAAAAACGCGCTCAACAAAGCATGTGAGTGCGGCAAGGATAATAATACGAATTTACTTATATTTCCAAACATTTTATTGCCTGTTGCGGTTTTCACTCCGTAAGCAATTATCCTAAATTCTTCAGAGTCGGATGGAATGGTTCTGAGAAAAGTTATTCCATGGGAAAGCTAAAAGATTTAAATATTCAGTTTCCGCTGCTTTTCTTGTCTTCAAAGTCAAATAGTGATCTGGCAGGTCCCTCTTGTGATTCACACACTTTTCTGGTGACAAAATCAAAGCTTTTTTAAAAGTATTTAATTGACTAGGTAATCGTTTCAAAAGTTCTTCGATTAGGGTGATTAAACATTTTTGACAGTCTTTTAATATGCTTCTTAAGTCAAGTTTATCACGCAGTTCATTAGTCTCTTCTGTAAAATTATCGTGAAAAACTAAGTTTTGTATATTTTTATAATTGGAAAAAATGTATTTGAACGGAAAAAATCGCCAATGGCGATTTCATATTTTTACCCGCAAATATCCAAAAAAAATCAATTGGAGCGAAATCGCCAAATCTGGACACTCTGCTGTGTGTTTCCTCGCGCGCAGTGCCGAAGCGAATAGCCGTCTGCATTAGGGATGTTGCGAATGTAAAAGTTTAGATATCCGCGGATGCGAATGCGAATGCGGATGTCAAGTATTTTTAAGGAACAACCAGGTAAGTAAACTAAGTTATTTAGGTAAATAAAAAAATTTAAAAGTTAGTAATTTTTAAATGTTTATTTTACTTAGTACTTGAATTTAAAATTTTATTTAATAAAAAGTAATGAGAATTGCATCGGGGCTGCAAAAGTCGGATGTATCCTCCTGACTTTCATGTTCACTTGAAGAATCTAGCATAATGGTGAGATCGTTGTTTAAACAGCGCTTACAAACCAAACCAGATGTGTCAGGTTTTTCTGAAGCTTTTTTTTAAAAGAGTTCTTCATTCTCATTCCTTTAGCAGTTTCAGAATTTGGGGAACTTGTAACGTCATCAGCGTTTTTCGATTTTAGTTTTTGTAATTCATTTTAATGGGTCTTCTGCGACTGGTTTGAAGAATTTGTGATTATAGCGAGCGAGATGGTGGTGGATATGGAAAATAAATTATTATTTTCCCGGAATGAAAATTTTGAACCAAATTCTGTATTTAAGATCCGGACTGCCAGCCGAATCGGATCGGATTTTTTTTATAATCATTTGAATTATTGGAATCACGAATGATGAGGGTTTCAGATGGTTACGTAATTCTTACCTAATTAAAGGTCGGATCTATAGCCTTTTAAATATTTCAGCATCGATTCTCTTTATAGTTAAATGTTGAAGATTTCTGCTGGAAATCCCTATTGTAGGAGCTTAATCTTTAATTTTAAATAGCAAAGAAGGGAGACGTAGGGGGAGAGTTTTACCACAGAGGTTTGTTTACAAAGTGCATAATAAATCGCGGATTTGCGGAATTATTTAATTTTAAATGGTAAATTGGTTGTTTAAAAGTAAAGAATGTGTACTTCTTAAATGCAATGCAAATCGCTGAAAGTGTTAAAACACTGCAATCATTATAATGATTTGCATTTTTTCAGTAATTGAACAAATACCAGCGGGCCGCCAGCGGGTCAGTTGCTGGTAACAATTTGCAGAACGATTCCACGGTGATCGTTGCATCGTCGTCAATTAGTGAAATCAGTAACCAAGCTTTTAAAATAAAGGAAAACCTCCTACTCCGCTATACATATAATTACTTTCATTATTTAGCTACTTTTCCGGCAGCCGCAACAAACGCTGGCCCAAGCCTGCAAATTGTTGCCAGCAACTGACCCGCTGGCTGCCCACTGGCATTTGTTCAACTACTCAAAAATGCACTTTGTAAACAAACCTTTTGGGTGTTGGCCACATCAAGCGGCTCATCTGGATGAAATGAAAAGGCTGTTAGATGTAATGCAGCAACGTGCTCCCGATGTTGAACATCAGTTCAAAGAAAAGTCAAATGAGTTGGAAATGGCGCAGCTTATCATACGCCAGTTGTCGGATAAGGCCAATGTAAACCAAGGCCGCAATCGGATAGAGACCTCGACGCAGACGCAATTTATGTACGAGCAACAGATTAGAGACTTACAAGTAAGTTAGAAGTAGAAGTGCATTTGAAGATGTTTACATTATTATGTTTACGCATTTCTTACAGGCTATGGTGCAACAATTGACGTATGCCAAAGAAAGGAATTTATGATGGCCACAAATATATTGGAAAAAACATAGCAAGTGCATATGCCAAGTTGGAAAAATTGACAATGCGTGAGTATAAAATGAATAGGTGTTCTTAATTATAAATATTACTTCACCTTTTCTTTTGCAGTGGCCANCTTCGTGCATCGTCGTCAATTAGTGAAATCAGTAACCAAGCTTTTAAAATAAAGGAAAACCTCCTACTCCGCTTTACATATAATTACTTTCATTATTTAGCTACTTTTCCGGCAGCCGCAACAAACGCTGGCCCAAGCCTGCAAATTGTTGCCAGCAACTGACCCGCTGGCTGAGCACTGGCATTTGTTCAACTACTCAAAAATGCACTTTGTAAACAAACCTTTTGGGTGTTGGCCACATCAAGCGGCTCATCTGGATGAAATGAAAAGGCTGTTAGATGTAATGCAGCAACGTGCTCCCGATGTTGAACATCAGTTCAAAGAAAAGTCAAATGAGTTGGAAATGGCGCAGCTTATCATACGCCAGTTGTCGGATAAGGCCAATGTAAACCAAGGCGGCAATCGTATAGAGACCTCGACGCAGACGCAATTTATGTACGAGCAACAGATTAGAGACTTACAAGTAAGTTAGAAGTAGAAGTGCATTTGAAGATGTTTACATTATTATGTTTACGCATTTCTTACAGGCTATGGTGCAACAATTGACGTATGCCAAAGAAAGGAATTTATGATGGTCACAAATATATTGGCAAAAACATAGCAAGTGCATATGCCAAGTTGGAAAAATTGACAATGCGTGAGTATAAAATGAATAGGTGTTCTTAATTATAAATATTACTTTACCTTTTCTTTTGCAGTGGCCAAAAAGAAGAGTCTTTTTGATGATCGATGGTGCATGCGTTACAATCTAAATTAGCCAGCATGGGCACCGACTTCAAACAGATACTAGAAGTGCGTATAGAAAATCTCAAACAACAAAAAGCGCGTCGGGAGCAATTCGGGCAGTCACCAATTGCTGCTAGCACTGTTCGCTCGAGTACAGCGAAACAGGGCTCCTTGCTGTTAAGCGAAGAGAATAGGGCCGTAAGCATTGGCATGGCCGCAAGTGATACAACACCATTGCTGGGTGCAGTCGGAGGTAGTGGAATACAGACGCAGCAGCAGATTGCATTATATGATGACTCCGATAGTTACGTGCAACAGCGGGCTGAGACTATGCAGAACATTGAATCGACTATTGTCGAGCTAGGCGGTATATTTCAACAATCAGCACATATGGTTAAGGAGCAAGAGGAGACTGTGGAGCGTATCGATACAAACATACAAGATGCCGAATTGAACATAGAAGCGGCGCATGGTGAAATATTGAAGTACTTCCAAACTGATGATAAAAATCTTCGCAGTACTAATATTCTTTTTCATATTCTTCGTAGTTTTCCTTACATAATAACGAATATGTTTGTGACACGGCAAGATTTTAACAAGTTCAGAGGCGCGGTCTTAAAGTTGTGGGTTTTTAAATACATAAATATATAATATCCTATTCATATACATACATATAAATCACACTAATGTAATAATGAAATTAAGTCTTATATGCCACGTGAAACACGATAGCTTTTAGAAGCAGTCACGTAGGGTTAGACACTAATTCTGCCAATAATAAAATTACTTCACTTAGTTTCACTTTTTTTCCACATTTTCTACAAAAAGTAGAGATGATCCTGTGTAATAAAACGAGATCTGATTTATGTAACCATAAATATATAAAGAAAAGTTTAAAACTAAATAAAATAGAAATTGTTATTGGCAATAAGTACATGTGCTTGTTTATTAATAATTCAAATATTATGTTCAAACAAATTTAAGTGAAAGGTATGCAATTTCAAGAAAAAAGCAATTGCTT